GTATAAATTATTAAACAAAAGCTTCTCTCAAAATAAAACCACTGGGAACCTCCATGTAATAAAATGAGTCACACCAGGATGCGATGACTAAGTGGGAGAACAGGGAATTCCACTCCCCATGCCAGCTTTCTTCATGATCAATTTTCTGTCAACAGGTGATGGGAGCTTGTCTCTCTGCCTTTTGTTTATGCCAAGAATTATGATTATTTTTCAATATTCTCCCTAAACAATTAAGCTGAATAATCAGGACCAGGCACAGTTCCATCAGGCGCCCCCATAGTAAACAGCGAGCCAGGGAATCCAGGCCAGTAGTGGCTGCCTGTGTTAATAAGGATTTACCAGCTGTAAAATTCCAAAATCTTGTGTCATACGGGGAAACCTTCCAAAACACTGGATTCCACCCTGTCTCGCTGAGTCTCTAACAGCTATGGCAACTCCGTTTCTGCAGCCACACACTCTCCTGCATTTTTCTCTGGGTGAGCCTTAGATTTTTTCCTGTTTTGAAGTGTTTTTCTGGAATCCCTGGTCGGGCGATTGCCCCGGAAGATTACGAGAACACCTGGGGCAGGCAGCACATTCCAGCCAGGGGGAAACCTTTGGGGAGAAAGGTTTGCTGGCTTTCAGCAGCTACAGCAGCAAGGAAAGGCACAAGGTGCCTCATTACCCTGAAACTTTCTAATTTGCACAGCACAACCAGGCAAACCAATCCTCCCGATTAATACTTGTTACCCTCACATTCAATATTTAAAGTTGTTTATTTGTTCAAGTAGCAAAGATCTCTTTTGAATGAACTGGGGAAAACACTGAAAGTTTTTTTAAATTCTTGTCTATTTTACCTTGAGTTTGCCTGAGAAGATTGCATCATTAATGTTGCATTATTAAGTTCACAGAGTTAACTGCTGAAAATAGTTTGCTGTTTTCTGCAGACTACAGAAAGCGACTGAGCTTGCTGTTTGGAACACAGTGAGGAACTGACCCAGCAGAAAAGGGGAACACTGCTGTAGACAGTGCTGGAATTTCCTTTCACTCTCCCACAACGAGCATGATCTTACCATCAAACCAAGACAGCAGCAGCCTTCTCTTCATGTGAAACCTGCCCTGATGCCTTCCCACCACAGTGTCCTGTAGGGCACTGTCCTGCAGGATCCCTGGAAGCCCCTGGCACACATTCCATGGCTCGTTTCCAGCGTCTGGGGTGCAGCAGCTGGGCACTGTGCAGAGCCTCAGCCCCACTGAGCCCCACTGAGCCTGCCCTGGCTGGGCTCTCCCACAGCCAGGACACGGCCACGCGTGTCCCAGCACCGCTGCTGGGCTCCAGAGCTGGACACTGCTCTGTCCCAGGGGCTGTGCACACCTGGGGGCTGGCACACCCCACTTCAAAGGGCAGCACCTCCTCTCCTCACCCTGCCCGAGCTGGAGATTTATGGTGGAGCTGCTCCAAGGATGGATGCTGTGTTTGGGTTGTTCCTCCACCACCCACATTGTCCTAGCGATGATTCACGGTGTCCATGTGGCCACCAGAAGAGCTTGGCAGGGGAAGTCACAGTCCATTTGCACTTTTCTCCCTGAGAAACACGAACCTCCTCTATCACTGACAGCAGAGCAGCAGTAACCAGTACACAAATGGGAGTAAACACAATGCAACCAGCATCTGACTCCCAAATTATTACATGACAATTAAAATAAATAAAAGGGGGAATTCCAAATCTCTTCTTTTCTTTAACTGCACTGTAAGATCTGGGCCCCAGCCAAACACTAACACCCTTGACCTGCACCCTATTCCAAGTCCTTGACAGCTCCAAGACTGCTTTTCAAGCTTTCTCTTCCAGATCAAAATTAAAAGGACACAGTCCCCAATCTAGTTGCTTCCTCTGACCTATTTTAGTTTAGCTGGGCTCAGTTTTGTGTCTCCAAGTTCAGATCTTCAGACTCCATCAGCCAAACTCTGCTTTTGTGTGCTGGGCTTAGGGAATTCATGAACTCCCCTGGCTCACAGCAGCTACATTTTATGATCGTGCATCGGCAAGAGATAACTGTAAAAAGAACTCAGAACCCAAGGCCTGCATGCCAATAAACCTCAGCATTCAGAAACTGAGTGCTATTTATGCATCAGCATTTCAAACACAAGCACTTTATCCCCTCAGAGCACTGAGCTCCAGCCCCTTCACTCCATTTCCTGCTGCTGTTTCCTGTCGTGAGCCGAAGCTGAGATGTCCCAGCCCTGTCCCCGGCGAGCTCGCTGCCACCGCCTGCGGCTCGCGTGACACTCACAGCGACATCCCCACACACTTCTGGGAACTGCCCTTCTTTTCCAGGTATTTCTATGGAAAAATATACATATCTGCAGCTCTGTGAAAAGCCAAATGGATCCTGCTCATTCCTGCTCACAGAAACATGTATTTTTGTCACAAATGTGACCAGTTCCACGTTCCTCTGTGTTGTTAATGGTGGGTGAAGAATTGTCTGCAAGCTCCAGAGGAAATGGAAAGAGGTTCTGAACGTTCTCCTGAGGGATGAAACCTAATTTACAGTTGTGACCTCAAAATGCAGCTCCCTGGGTTTTGCAAAGCTGACGCCCTCCCAGCCCCGCTTCACCCAGATCCCAGGGGCACCCAGAGTTTGGAGGAACAATTAACAGGAGAAAACCTGGCTGCACAAAAATCCTTGCAGAAGGATTTTTTTGGGGGGGGTGGGAGAAAAAGAGCCTTGCCACTCTCACCTTAAACACTGGACACCCAAGCCAAGGAGCTCTGTGGAGCCTGGCGTGCCCAAAGCTGTGGGATGGTTACCTACACCGCTGTTCTCGCCCCTGTTATCAGCACAGCTAAAACCAGTGGCAAAATGGGAAATCCAGCACCACCTGCTAGCACAGACAAGGTTTGTGAGCTGTTAAAATGAAACTCTAAGCAAACCAAGCTTCCCCTGCGAGCTTGCTGCATCTTCCTGCCTCGACAAAGGTGTGATTGTTTCACAGGCTCCGGGCAGCGGCGCGCTCTGGAAGAGACACAGCGCTCTGCGGCTGGGCTCAGGCAGAGCTGGGCTGCCACCCACCCCCAGCACGCTGCTTGTGGCTCACCCTGGCCCTGAGCAGCTCCTCAGCACTTTCTGCACGGGCTCTGCAGGGCAGGGCAGCCCTGGGTGAGCTGCTGCTCCTTCCACCCAGCACTGCTCCATCGGCACCTGGGGCTGCACGGCCGGGCTCACTGCTCCGGGCTCCTGCAGCCCCCGGCAGTGGCAACCACAGACAGACATCCAGCTATCCTAAATATCCTAGATATCATAGATATTTAAAACTGTCTACAGTGCAGAATGAGGGAGGCTCAAAGTCTCAGGAGATCCTGATTTTCAGGTGAGCTGGGACACTCAGCCTCTGACAAGCCAGGACAAAGCAATTCTCAGTTTGCTGCACTCAGCCCATGCATGATCTGCATGTCCAGCTCAGCTTCTTAACCTTCCTCACCTCAGGACGTACCTACTAAATAAAGAAATCTTCATTTAGAAGCACTTGGGGCAGCTCTCTCAGAGGTGCTGCTGCACTCTGGAGCACACAGAGAACCACTCAGCACGAGTCCCCCAGATAACCACTGCAAACCACACAGACTCCTGAGTCAGCCCAAGGATTTGACTCTGCACCTCCCATCCTCTGAACTGCCCTTCTGCCAATCCTTTATTCAGAGTCCAGCAGACTGAGACTGCCTGCAGAGGCTGGGGGGAGGCAGGATATGGAACACCAGCAAGCAAATCCCTGCTCCAGACTGGGCACTGCCGCTGGGATCAGTCCTGTCTCTCCCCTACCAGGAGGTAAAATAAGAGGAAAAAAACCCTGCAGTTTCCCCAGCAGCGAAGAAAAGCTTTGGATTTAGTGTGGAAAATGTTGTTGTTCTTTTTACTTTCTAACATCTCTTCCAGCCAGAGCCTTCTCTGCTCTCGTATGGAAATAGGGGCAGGGCTTTTGGGATGTTTCCTCGAAATGGCATCAGGAGCCACCTCCTTTGAGTGTGGATCATCTCCTGTAGTTACTGCAAAACATTCTTGGGACAGGTAGCACTGCAGGCTGCCAAGATGTTCCCATGTCCCTTCCCGAGGCGCTGACATGGTGGAACAGTGGCAGCACAGTGGGAAGGAATTAATCCATGGGCTTGAAAGGAAACAGAGCGTGCCAAAAGAATTCCTCTGGCTGCACAGGCTCAGCTGAACCTCCACAGCTCTTCAGAGCCTTTCATACCTGCAAAAGCAGCCTGGCTTGCTGCTGGTGTGGGAAGGAGCTGGGACCTACAGAATGCTTTTTGCCCCCCATGTCAGCAGCTGCTGCCCATGGATGTTCCTGAATGTACATTCATTTTTGGCTTGAGTCTCACTTTTTTCCAGTGGCATTACCCATAGATCATGCACATGCTGCTCACTTGGGCAATGCAATCTCTTAAACTCCTTGCAAGTCACCTGATATATCACTTAAGATGCCTCTACCGCAGTTCACTGACAGAAAACTTCCAAGCACCAAGTTTTCTTAACAGCACAAAGGGAACACAAAGTTTACAATAAAAAATATGGAAGGAGAAGGGATGGATTCTTGTATCTCATTACGTGCATAAAAATAATTTTATATAAAAAGACACATTATGTTTGCTTTTTCTGCACAGATTTCTAAAGGGAACAAAATGCCTGTAGTTCACATGAGTAAAAAAATGTTCATTTCAATGATGATTTCTACAGTAGCATTCACTAAAGACGAGATGAAACAAGCACAGAGGAACATGTAGTGCTCATCTCCTTTCTCTGATAACAAATCCTGTCCCTGCTGATTCCCAGTGCCTGGATTCTTGTGAAGCAACAACACAAACAGCTGCTCCCAAGTGTAATTTTACTCACGTGGATTTACTTACATGAACTTGAATGGGACTGCTCACTTCAGTTAATCACGAGCACAAATCTAATGATGAGATTTGGCACTAAAGATCTGCCTTATCCTGTTAGGGAAAGTTGGGAAAAACCTGCCTTACCTGATGTTTTTTCTGTGAACACCACCTTGGACTCTGCTGTGAAGTTCTGTCCAGTGAGAATCATCTGCTGTCCTCCATAAACCAGGCAGCTGTCAATGTCTTGTCTTTCAACCATTGGAAGCTCATGAGCAGACCTTTGGGCTGTGGACAAATTGCAAACATGAATGAAACCAACTCTGTTTTACCAGGACTTTCCAGATCTTCCCAGAACTATCCACAGATTGATCTTGTCATCGTTACCATCCGCTGACTGCCAAAGCAGCTTCTCCAGGGTGCTAAATTTAGGTCTGAGAGGGAAAAATAAACTTACTCAAGGCATTTTATTTGGAAACATTCAGGAGTTGGCTGCAGTGGTTCAGCTGTGCTGGCCCTGCTCCTTGTCCTTGAGAAAGGACAGCTTGGATGAATGAGCTGAAACTTGCCCATGCCTGTTTCCAAGTCAACGGCCAAATTTTCAAGTGCAGGCACACTACAGCCCTAGAGCCCAAAAATTCCACCTGCACAGAGGATTCCACTGAATAACACTGAATTCCTTCAGAGGGGAAAAAAAAATAAAAATTAACCTCTTCTCCAAAATCCCACTGCCTCCCACAGGGCGCTGCCAACAACAGCTCCATCTCCATCCCCGTGTGCGGGCACCAAGCCCTGGCTCGCAGGAGGGGCAGCCACGAAGCCCCAGCCATGATCAGGAGGGGTCACACCAGGACTGCTGCAGCCCAGGCTTCTTCCAAGCATGTTCTGCAGAAGCCTGAACATCTGAGGAGCAGGGCCCTGTGTTACAGACAGTCTGACTATGAAAGACAAGGCAAGGTAGGGCGGGATCCAGATGGACACAGACACCATCAAGGCTTTCTAAGGTCTTTACTGTCCTTGGCCACGAATTTGGAGAGTGACTTTAGCAAGTTATTCTCTCCTCCCCCAGCCAGAAAACCAGGACAGCAGCATCTCTCCTTTCCTCTGATCCCATTAGAACAGCCACTTTCATGGTCAGGAAAGCTCTGGGGAGCCCTGGCCACCATCCCTGCAGAGCCATCCCAAGTGCTTGCCATCAAGCTGGGGGAGCTGAAGAAAGTGAAGATGTGAGAACTGCTCAGACAGCTGGAAAATATCAGGAGCTTCCCTGTGAGCAGAGCAGGTGGGCAGCAGCTTGGGGCTGGTGAACTGTGAGTTCATGACCTGCACTCAAACTCCTCCAGATTCATCCACCCCAACTGGAAGGGCCTCCAGAGGATCCTGCTCATCTCTTCCCCAGCTGCCTTGGCTGGGTTTTAGCTCTCCCTGACAGAGACCCCGAGCACTTGTGTCTTCACTGAGCACCGCTGGCTGCTGAGCCAGCAATGAGGAAATGTGATCCTGGATGTGCAGTGCTGGCCCTGATCACAGGCAGGCAGGCTGTGACCTGACCTGGCACTGCTCTTCTGCTCTGCAGCCCTCGCACTGACAGAATTCTCTCATCACCTGGAGAAAACGTTGGAATGTTTGGTGAGAAAACTCAAGCATTAAACCTTTCACAGCAACTTTTCTAGCTCTGCTGAACCCTTCAGGCACGAGACAGAGATTTTGCTCTTATTAAAGAATAGAGGTAATTCAAGAGTTGTAACTTTTTTAAGCCATTTGAGAGGCATTTTTGAAATCTATTTAAAACTATCTTAGGACTCATTGTTCTTTTCAAGTATATAACATTTGAGCTAATATACTGCCAGTTAAGAATATATATTTGGATTATTATCAAAGAAGCCAATAATTTCTTTCCCAAAATTCTAACATTTTTAATGGGTTCCTGATTGGATTTATCACAAAGACAGATCTGTAACCTCAAAGACTTAAGACAAAATGACACTTAAATAGCAATCATCAAAAAGCATGTCTGCAACAGTCAAGAGAAAACATTTAAGTATTTAAGCGTTGCCCTGGACACACTTTATTCCTATTCAATCACCAAATTTCACTTCCAAAACATCCTAAATCATCAAAATTCCAGATTAACTGACATCTCTTTCCAGCTTCATCGTGTTAATAGAGAGCTTGGTACCTGCCATCCACAGATCAGTGGTTTCCAAGGCTTTTTCGACATGAGGAAGGACAAATTTTATCCTGGATGTGACTCTGACCCATCTCAATTAGGTTTGGAGCTGCTGCACCTGGCCTGACTTTGGGCATCTCCAGAGCTGAGCTTGCCCTGAGACAAGAGGAGGTGCAGACCTGCTGGGCCTCAGATGTGCTGCAGAATAATCCCATTTGCAGGAGCAAATGCAGGATTTTCCATTTTCCAAGGTCCTTTTTTTCACCCAAGCCTGGAAGAAGGCTTCACCCCCTTCCCCATCTCCACCAAGAGGTTCAAGGTTCAGTGTGGAGCTGCCTCAATAGGATTATTTTTTTTTCCTCTGCAAGAAATATTAATTGCTAATAAATCCCCTTCCTCTAAGGCTCACGATGGGTGCGCTGCATGCAATAATTTCACACTATTCCTTCTCTTCCCCCAGGGGTTGGCACTTCATAAAGTGACCTACAGCTACTGGAGTTTATGAGCTTTGAATAAACAAAACACTGTTGATTTAACCAGTTGGGGTGTTTACTTTCAATAGCAACAGTTACTGACATAAGGCAGCAAAGCAAATGCTACAGAAATACTCACACTTGGCCTGAAGCAGTGTGTCAACCTATTAACAGGGGACATTATTTTTCTATTTTATTTGACTGTTTGCAAATCAAGATGTCATGGACTGGTGGTGCCAAGAAATACAATGCATGCAGTGACACAAGACAGAAGGGGAGCCACTGTCTGAGACCCTGCAGCACCTCCAGGGAGCTCAGCCTGCAGGGAGCTCTGCTCCCCCAGCCCAGGCTCCCACTCTTGCCAGGGCTCTCAGCCCCTCCCTGTGCCAGCAGCTGGTGAGGATGGTGAGCAGAAGGTGAGGATGGCCAGAGCCGGCAGTGAACTCCTCACCTGGGATGCAGACTGACCACCAGGGACTGTGCCAGGGCAGGCAAAGGTGGGCCTTGCTTCCCCACCTGCCCGCAGTGTCCACACCTCTCCTTTTGCAGCAGAGGGGAGATCTGGCTTTCAGGGGAAAAAAACCACGGGGTCTTTTGGGAAAACTGATTACCTGGAGAAGTCTGTGCCACCCATTGCTGCTGGGAGGTGACAAGGGACAATCTCAGCTGGAGAAACCTGGTCTAGTGGAAGGTGTCCCTGCCTGTGCCCAGGGTGGCACTGGATGAGCTCTAAGGTCCCAAGCCAAGACATTCTATAATTCTGTGATGAACTCCTGCTGGAGTGAAGCCCCTCCACACTCCCTCCAACACCTGCAGCACTGACTCCAGACCTCGGGTTCTCTGTGGTCCCCACTGCAGACAGCAGAGATTTTATCCTTGTGGTAACAGAAGGAGCAGGACTGAGGCTCACGTGCAGCTCAGTGAGGACAAAGCCACTGCTGCCTCGGATTAACTCCCAAAAACGTGGCTGTTTAAGAGGGGTGGGGTCACAACTGGCACCCCAGTGCAGTGGCCTCACCAGAACAAATATTCAGATCCCTCTTTGGACAGATCTGTCTTTACCCTGCCTAGAGCAGCCCCAGTTCACCCCAGCTTGCTGGAAGCCTTCGAGCTGGGACTCACCACCCCTGACGTGTCTTTCCCAACTTCCAAAGGCTCTTCATCCAGAGCATGGATCAAGACTCCTGTTGGGTTTGAGAGGAGCAGATAGAGCAGGATGTCTGCTACTAAAATAACCCTGACCCCTGGAAGCAATAGCAGAGGTGTAATTTGCTATGGGATTAATTCTTCCACCTCAGTGCAAACCTCAATGAGCCAAAGAAAATATTTCATTCCTGCTGTCACACTGGATTTATTTGCCACAAGCTGCCTGTGGTAGGATTGATAGGAGCAGAGCTGCTGTGCTCACCACTTATCCAACTCATTAATGTTTGAGGGCCTTTGATCCCCTCCATCACTCCCTGAAGCATCCTGAGCTCTGCAGTGGAAGACAAAGGCTGGGCAGCCGTGGGAGGACCAAGGGCAGGAGACATCTCCAGCAGCCAGGGAGACACCAGCAAGACACCACCCTAGAGAGAATCAAACTTCTGATGGGAGGGATGGGATCATTTACCTCCTGGTGGGAGTATGGAGCAGTGGAAGACTTATGAACCAAGTAAATAAAGCTAATTTCCAGCCCTCGTGGGGAAACCTTGAAAATGTGGTCTAAACGCTCTGAAAAGAAGAACGCAGTGTGACTGACAACAGTTTCTAATTTGCTGCCAGCAAGACTTAATCAGCAGTTTGTGCAGAGCCATCCAAGCAAAAAGCACCAAAAATAGAGAGCTTTTCTCCACCTCCTCCTCTGCAGATAATTGATGATGTCCTCGCAAAGGAGGAGCGACAAGCTCTGATGGCAGCAGTGTCAGATAAGTGTGATACTTTCTATGAACCGCAGCCAGCTCACCAAGGCAGCGTGTGATTAATGACAGGAAAACCATGGCTTCGCTTCACTTCTCTGTCACTCATCTCTGTGGCTGTGCACAGCATTGCCCTGCAATCCCTTCTGGAGGGGATCTGCTCGCCTGAAACCCTGCCCAGCAGCCCACTGTGCTCTGCTGGAGTGATTGCTTTTACCACCACTACAGACAAGAAGTAAACAGGAGTTACCCCTTGGCTCTGACTTAAACAATGAAGTGCTTTGGCTGCACGTTCAAAGTGGCAAATGTTGTCAGAATTAGCTTTTACATTCTGTGCTTCAAGAGAGAGAAAAGGTCCTTCAGAGAAAGCACCAGTTTTTCTGTCAGCTGCACTTGCATCAACCGTGTGACTGTCTTGAAGTTGAAATGAAAGGGGGAAAAAATTAATTTAATTCAACTGGAAACCACGATACTCCCATAATAATCATGGTTATGGTTAAACTTGCATCTAGGTATCTCCCAAGTGCAAAGAGACCATTTGTTTCTGTTTTTCTAGCTGAAAAAAGCAGGGCTCCCTCCTGCCTGCTGCTGTGTTCCAAGCAGCACAACTCCCAGCCGAGGAAAAGCACTGGCTGCCTTGCCAAGACAACATTCTTCTACATGACTAGCTCTTTCCTCTGTAGTTATTAATGTGTCACAAATCATAGGCTCAGATTGTCTAATATTATGGGAAAATCTACTAGAAGGAGAGAAAAATAAAGGAAACTTCCAGGGAAATTGATTAAAGGGAAATAAGAAATTTGACCCAATTTAATGGAACAAAATACGGCCAATAATAGAAGCTATTTAAATTCCTCTAGATGGACACACGGTTCTTTAGCAATAAGTTTTGTTTGTTTTGCTTTTTTACCACCTTGGAACATCTATTATAAGAACAAGATTTTAGTCTCCTTCTCTCGTGCCAAATGCAATTTAAGTTTGCATTTTAAGGGATTCATGAGCACAGCTCAGGGTCAGCAAACATGGATTCTAAAGCAAGAACTGTGACAGGCTTTGGGAAGGTTTAAAAGGATTCATTAGAATAAAAACTGGGGCACAGGGGAGGACACTCCTGAGAGTGTCAGGCATGTGCATGGAGCAGTTTTTGGTTGCTGACAGCACAGAGCAGAACAAGCTGCCCTACTACCCTGGATTCCACCCTGTCCTTCTCTGCTCCAGGATGCTTCCGTGGAGGGGTGGAAACACAAGTGCAGATGTTGGGGCACCCAGCCTGAGCTCCCAGAGGTCATGACAAATCTATCTCTTGGAGAGGCAGCCCAGTGTCAGCGTTTTCAGTAACACCAGAGACCACCCACTCCCCGAGAAATGAGCTCCAGCTCTTGGTGAAAGGCAAAGGAACAGAACTGATGTTACAGAAATCGCCCTCATGGCTCAAAAATAATGGTCTGCAAGTGCCAAACCTCTCCAGGGGTGATTTTCCACGTGGCTGTGACTGAAGGGACTGTCACCCCGCACCTGCAATGTCACCAGCAGCTCTGTCACAGCCCTGCCTGCCCAGCAGGAGCTGGTTCATGCCTCGAGCAGCAGCCTGTCCCAGCAGGGATGGACATCTGGACACAGCCCTGAGCAGAGAGGGGCAGGGGTCCAGGCCAAGCACGACACCAGGCTCTGATCCCACTCGTGGGGCTCGCTGCCAGTTCACTGACCCAGTGTGGCCCAACACCAGGAGAAGATTTCTCTCACCTTTCCAGCACACACCTACAAGAGAGTGGTTTCCCACACCTGGCTGAGTGATCTCCTGTCGCTAAAATGGTCAGGAGGATTTCAAATGCCTCCTCAGTGGCTTCAGGATGGATCAACAGGAGAAAAAAAGCTGCTGAATTGTGCAGGCTTGTGTGGGTCTGAGGTCCATTTTAAGGCACAACTGATCATTTAACAACACATCACCCCCTCCCACACAGCTGCCTGGGGAGGAACTGGCTCCGGATGATGCTCTGAACCTGTGAAATCCCCTCCGAAAATCTGTCAAGTGCTGAAAGTGACACAGATGAGGTGGAAGCAAAGAGCCCTCTGAAAAGCAGCTATTTCACAGGTCTTGCTTCACTGCAGCTAATGATCTGCTGACACTGGTGGGACTTCCTCGGGATCAGCTCTCGGATACACTGTTGGTAGCAACAGCGCTCAGGGGGAGCCCTGGGAAGGGGAATGAGCCGTGGTCCTGGAGCTGCTGCTCACCAGGGCTATCCCAGAGGAACATCATTGCTGCTACCAGACAGGAGGGATCCCGGGGAGACATCCTGGGGATAAGGGTTCTCAGGAGGCCAGGACAAAAACCACCCGAACAAAGCAGAAAACAAAGGGGGAAAAAGTGAATCCCAGCAGCACAGAAGGTGGGACAAGAAGAAGACATCCCCCAGCCCCAGTGCCCCTTCTTGGCAGGGCACCTGAGCTTACCTGGGACTGCCTGGCAGCTCTGCAAGGTGGGCAGGGTGTCAGGGACAAGCTGAGGTTGCCTCCTCTAGGGAGATTTAGATTTTTGCTAATGCTGGCTGAGCCCACTGATGCTTCTAACTATTTTCCCAGAACTGGGCTGGGATCAGGAAGTGCTACTGAAATGCAAGAATGCTGCTAAATATGCAACATCCACACTAAATGGCAGAGGTTTATTACTCCAGATCACCTCATACCCCGCTTGAGTTCAGGAAAGCACAGTCCTTAACCCATCTCTCCAAACTGCCTGTATATCCACTATTCCAAAAATAAAACTTTCTTATTTTATTTCCTTGGGGATCAAATACATTTTTTTTCTTGTAGGAGCTTTGCTGTCTCCTATGCAGCCAACATTTCAATACTTTAATTATGAAAAAACCCCACCAACAATAAGCCACTTATACTGGTATCTCCACTCTTGGCTTTCTTATGCCCCTAAGACTCATCAATGCAAAGACATCTCAGAATAAATGCCTCAGCATCTTAAGGCTCTGCCACAGCAGTCACTGCACAGGCAAATTAGGTGTGTGCATACAGTTTGGAAAATTGTGATTTATTCTGCAAACCAGGCCCGGATTTCTGCTTGAAATGCAGCGATGGGCACAAGCACAATGTGCCATTGTGGAAGGGCCCTAGAAATGCCTGGCTTACTCATGCTTGCTTTTCCTGAGGAGAATTTGAGTAGGTGGGGGGTGATCTGTGGGTTCCAGGCCCAGTCTCCTCCTGCCCTGGTGCTGTTTTCCTGCCCACAGGGTGTAGGAGTTACACCTGGAGTTTCCCCACCCAGGAGCTCCTCAGGGAGCGCTTCCTTTAGCAGATGGACCTTTGTTTCTGCAGGGACACACTTGGGGTGGAGGCCACTATTGTTCCAGCCATCTGCTCCCACAGAGGAACGGGACCATTTCCTATGGACAGAGGTGGTGGCTACTCCCACTGCTGTCCCTTGCCCATCACAGGGCCCAGAGACGTCACTCAGCCGCTAAAATGCTCTGACAGCTGGTACCTGCTCAGAAACACTGCCAAGAGATCATTCATAGCCATCATCCTCTCCCAGCCTTGCCTTGGTTATTCATCTGTACTGCTTTCTAAAAAGCTGCCATCAATAATTCACTAGCCAGTTTGATTTCCCACCCAGAACCGGCTCCTCTCATTCTGAGCAGTTGGCTTTAAGTAAAGTCTGCATCCCAATAAATACAATTCACCCATGAGAGGCTCGATGGCTTTCTTCACATGACTTATGGCAAGACAGGTTCTGCTGAAGGGGTGAGTCATTCAGCAAAGGCAGAGGAAACCTGTTCATTACATATTTGTGAAATCCCCAAACCACCAAAAAGGCACCATTTAACAACAAAAAGCATCACAGGATGCACAGGAAGCAGTAAAGTGGGCAGAGCCCTTCCAGAAATGACTGTGACACGGGGGCCTCATCAGAGGCCTCTCTTTCTCAGGATCCAGTCAGTTATAACGAGTGGGAGGCTCTGAGCTCACACACTTATGGGATTTGCACTCAGAAAACAAAACTGCCCGTTTTCTTCTGTCCCTCAGGGGAATACCAGAACTACCTGTGCTTTCCCAGCTTCAGCCTCCTGAGCTGTGCACCCCTTGGCACTGACAGCCAGAAAAAACGATGGTGAGAATGCACCTGAGGCTCAGAATCCAAGCTGTCCCTCCACTGCAGCCGTGTTCCTGCCACAGCCCTGCTCTGCTCACTCCTTGGGCACACAGGACTGGCCACGGTGCTCAGAGCAGGCCCAGTATGAATTCAGTTTGTGGAGGACAAGTTCTGACTGTGCCTCGGCTCAAAACAAGGCCAGGAAGGCAGGCTGCTCGCAGGCCCTGCCAGCGGGGACGGCGTCCCTACGCACACCCCACACTGCCCCGAGGAATCAGCAGAGAGCCAGCAGGATCCAGCAGCAACAGCAAATAAATAAACTCCGCAGAAGCCCCCAGACCTGGCACTCGGAGCTCCTCACAAGCCCCAAGGGCTCCTCACAAGCCCCAAGGGCTCCTCACAAGCCCCAAGCACCCTGCAGGGCTGCCTGCCCCCCAAGCTCCTCTGAGGGCCGTGGCAGGGCGAGGAGCGGGGGCCAGGGATACTCACAGCACTCGATGGGGTTGGAGGCCGCCTGCAGGGACACGATCCTGCCGCTGGGCTCGGGGATGTGCACGCGGAACACGAGGCGCACACGCGTGTTCTTGCGGCCGATGTCGGTCTCGCCCTTGCGCAGCTCGATGTCCGCGTTGCGCAGCTTCAGGATCCCCGCGCAGTCGATGCTGCAACACACACGGCCCCAGCTCAGCACCCCTGCTCTCAGGGCATCGAGCTCGGGTTTGGCTCCAAGCTCTGGGTTAAGAGCGGCCCTGTGTAGTTTCCCTGGTTAGGATTGGGATATTCCCACTCCAGCAGCTACAGGGAAGAAATCCCGGATGTGCAGCACGTGAGGGATGCTGCTGGGCCTCTCCCCGCACTCTGAAAACAGCAGAAGCTGCTCTCCAAGCATTCAAACCCCAAGTCTGGTTTCCCCAGTGCTGAGCAGGGGAGTGCAGAAGGCAGAAGCACCCTGGGGCAGGAGCTCCAGCAGAGCTCTCCCGACAGCCCAGCTCTCCCAGCCGCCCTCCCGAGCTGGGCACCTCAGCTCAGCCCCGCGGGGATCACAGCAGCTGGGGCAGCTGCTTACAGAATCCCCACTGCCTGCACCATCCAGGCGCCGGGAGTTCAGCTCCAAAGCAGCAACCAGACTGCTGTCTCCTCCTTTTGCACAGGGTGTTGCTACTGCTACAGCCTGGTCCAGGTCCCTGTGCCCCCCTCCAAGCCCTGGGACATTGTTCCCAGGCAAGGAAGGGCCTGGCAGAGCAGATATTCATTCTCCCATCCACTGTGTCCCTGCACAAAGGGAGGGTGCAGGCAGCAGGATGGGGCTGAGCAGCAGTGAAAGGATTAGGATTGCTTAAATCCGCACTGCAACTTAATATTTGGTGTAAGTGCAGGCTGGCTTCTCCAGAGTCCAGCGTAACCTTGCAAACATGCTGTGCTAGGAAAATGTGACACTTACTTGTCAAGCTCAGCAATAGTTCTCAGAGCAGGCAGTGAGCACTGCTATTAAACAGGCATTGCCAGCCCATTTTGATATCAGTTCTGAAAACACATCATTTCTCTTCTTCTGATATGAATTAAAATCACATTTCGGGAGGTATAAGCCCCAAGCTGCTTCCTACACCCACACTGTTCCTTGCCCTTGCATATGTGCAGGGGTTTATTATTCCAGGGCTCCTCGTTAGGAATGAGGTATATTTTCTAAAAAAAACATGAAGAAAGAATGTGGATTTTGCAGTGAAGTAGGGGGGCTTTAAAACATAACTGCCCTGCCAGTTTTGTCAGGATCCTCTGAAGGATGGAGATGCAGCTCTTCCCTCTGCAGAGCAATCACTCTCATGCCTGGCACACATTCAAGCCTGAAGTTTTCAGACCAGTGCCCACTTCATCCCTCTGCCTCCATAAAACTGGAAGGAGTAATACAGACAAGATGTGCCTGTACTTGCTTTTCTGTTAACCTATTACAAGAGGAGATTTCATGGCCAGAGCACTTGGCTGAGTTCAGAAGAGATGTTTTGTATTCCATTAAATGTTGTAAAATGCATCCCACACCTTTCCCCTGTCTGCTGCCCCTGTTCCTCACCGTGCCCCTGCAGCACAAGGGCTGGAGATTTGAGTCTTCTTTTCCTGAGTGCGCTACAAACCCATTCTGACTGTGCAGATGATGGATTCTTAGTGAGACACTGGATGCCCCACCCCTGGCAGCACCCAAGGCCAGGTTGGATGGGCTTGGAGCAGCCTGGGACAGTGGAAGGTGTCCCTGCCATGGCAGGGGGGGCACTGGGTGGGCTTTAAGGTCCCTCCAACCTAAACCAGTCTGAGATTACAGCACAGTCACTGCAGAAACCAGAACACAGAGCAGAAGTGCCTGCACGGTAACCTGATGGATGGGAACTCCTGCAGCAGCTTTAACCCAGGTGCTTGTAGCTGCTTTAGTAGAAAGGGTTTTGCCCTCATGAATCATCCCAACGTGCTCCAGAGCACCACTGCTCTTTTAAGTGAACATCTTTCTCCTTTCCAAAGGGACAGAACTTCAGTGCCAACTTAATCCACCTCGGCTTTGCCCATAAAAAGAAATCTACTTACGTTGCTTTCATGTTGTTTTTGGGTTCCAGGGGGATCTCTAACACTTTGGTGTTGCCAATGATCTTCTCGTAGCTGGTGGTGGTGACGGTTTTGCCCGTGATGCGATGGACCTGGTAGAAGGCGTGGGGCTTCAGGATGCGCTCATCCGCCGTGCCAATGAAGATCTGCAGGCCAAGGGGTTTGTTCTCCATGTACCCGTGCAGCTGGCAAGACATCAAAAACCTGCTGTCACACACTGGGCCTGCAAAGCCTTCAGGAAACCAAGATTTGCAGACATGTATAGATAAAGGTAATCTGGCATTGATTCACTGCTCCTTGAAGCTCATCCTTCCCCCAGGGGTTGGTTCACCTTCAACCATTCCTCTGGCACTGCATTAGAACACCACCTGTTCAGGCAGAGATTTGGGTTTGGGACTGAACCCCACAAGGATGTCTTAGCTGACCTTAGAGCCTGGGGTTTCTAGGCCTCAAGGACACAGACTCTTCTGCCTGTTTTGGGTTTTTTTAATAAACACCATTTGCTGCAAGGAAACCAGAATGCCTCCATAGACCAGGAGACAAGGAAATTTCTCCTTCTTTATTAACGTTCAAAATTACAAATCAAACCATTCTAAATTTCTCACATAACCAAAAATGAGAACCAGACATTTATCTACCGCATAGCCAGGGATGGAGCTGAAAGGGAACTTTATGGTCTGAGACATGCTAAATTTGTTTTCAATTACTCTGTCCACATACAAAACCTTGATGAAGCCATACAAAGCAAATAGTACTGGAAGATCAGAGAAAAGGAAGATTAAGCTAATGGTATTCATGGCCAAACCAGGGGTTTTTTTTTCCCTTTTTTTTTTCCTTTTCACCAGTCAGCAGGAGGTCTCCTTGCACAGAAGGATTAATTCCCCCCTGGAAGGGGACCACATGCAGCATCAATGCAGTGCTGGCAGCCTTCCCCCAGCATGGCAGATGTAAGGCTACACTCCCTCTCCAGAGCTGCTCCTGAGCCAGCACATCTCCTGGAGGCTCACAGAGACAGGACCCCGGAGACCCCTCCAGCCAAGGCCTGAGCGAGCAGCCTCCCCTGGCATCAACAGCTCCAGCAACAGCTCCACTGAAGGCACCAGGCTTGTGCAAGAGCAAAGTGCAGAGCCCAGCCCAGGCACAGCCCACACCTGGCTGGCACCAGCCTGATGGGGATGGGGATGGGGAGGAGAGGAACGGGGCAGGAGGCTCTGTGCAAACTCCAGCTGGCTCTGGGAGCACCAGGGCTGGGACTGGAGACACAGCAGGGCCAGGAATGGGATAAATACAGCAGCAGCCATGGGCACATCCAGAAACGGACAAAGAGTAGGAGATGAAAGCCAACACAGGCCAAAGTGACAGATCTGCTGGGAACAGGCACTGATGGAGCGATCCACAGCCCAGATCCAGTGGGAGCCACGGGGAAACTCACACTAAGCATGGGACTTTCAAAACCCAGCATTTCCTGGCCTTCAGTGCAAAGCCACTGTACCACCAAGAGCCATCCTGTCTTCAGCAGGGGTGAGGGGGAAGAGCAGTTTTTACGTCCTGAGCGTGTTTATTGTCATGCCTGACAGACTAATGCTTTGTGCATCCAGCTACAACACAACAGGATCCTCTGGACAGGAGGGGTTATTACAGTGACAGCAAAGCAGCTTTTGCTCTCCCCTCTGTCCTGGCAGAACAAAATCCCAGAGTTATGGGTGGGAGACTGAAACAGAGGAAAACAGATAATAAATTACAAAAGAAAATCTGCCCCCAGTGAGCACAGTCAGTAGCAGCTGTAACAGAACTGGCTACATACACAGGGTTTAATACTGGCCACCTTTAAAAGTAATTTTAAGTATTTGGTCATGTACAGAATGAGTTCCCAAGACAAAACTGTTCATGGCTGTCCAATAATGTGCGTGCCTGTGGGTGTGTGCTGTATAAATGCATACAGGCTTAAGAGAGGAATTGATTCCCTGTTCATATGGCAATGTCTGTATTATCTGCTGGCCCAGGGGCATAAAACACACAGTAAAAGGCCTCCTGATCCTCCACAGAACCAGATTTTAAATCAGTTGTTTGGTCAGTGGAAGAAAATGACTTTTTTTTTGTAATTTATGGTATTATAGCAATGCTGTGGGATGACATCATCGTAAAATCAGAACAGCATTATAAAATGCAAATACAATGAGAAAACATATCTGTAAAAGAGTGAAGTGTCCCCATTTACAAGGGTTTATCCTTGAGATAATTGATTACATTTTTAGGGCTAATATAGGTGATCATTCACCATAAGTATTTCCATCTACCTTTCACTTGCTACGAATGAACAGCTCACAGAAACACTCCAGGACCTTTAAAATCAGAGTTTTACACTCATCTTCACCAGCAATTTGGCACAGCTTTGGCCATGTCACACTCTCTTTTTACCTGCACCAGGGAACAGCGATGCTCACCCTGCTCGGCAGGGACAGAGTATTGGTGCTGCTTTCTTATAGAGAATTGTCTCTGTGAGCTAGAATGAAAGAACACATCAAAGCTGTGCTTCAGAGATATGGCTCTTCTTAAAACTGAACTGCTAAAGAGTGCCACTGTCAATAAACACCTCCACTATGCCAGGCAGCTGCTTTAATATTTAACCAAAGCACTGATCTTTCCCCTTTGGAGAACCAAAGGAGGAATCAATTTGACCCTTATACAAACTTTGAGAAGTGAAGACTTAAAATGCTTTTTAAAATACTAAACTTTGAAATTATTTTTTTCCTCCCTTAGCAACAACCAAGCTGCTCTAAAATCTCTGTGTTTCAGTGTTGTTCTTCTGCTCATCAGAGCTGCTTCCCCCAAGCCCTTCCAGGGGAGCACCAGCCCCACACCAAGGTGGGCTTTCACTCTTTCTCACTCTTCTTTCCATGAAGAAAACAAAATCATCTGGATTTCAGTTTCTTTCAAGAAAGATTTATGAATACAGAAGTCTGGGAGGAAATATTTTTGTGTATTATAAGGTGACCTATTCACAATAAAACTCCCCCAAACTGTATACAGATCGAGCTGGAAAAAACCCAACTCCTTTGAGTCACATTTGCCACAAGGGGAAAGAGAAGCCAGACATGATGTGTACCTTTCCATACTCTATTTTGGGACTTTAAGATCCTATTTCTTTCAGTTGAAAGATTTTTCTTAAACTTTGCTTTTGCCTAACTCTCACAATATTCACACATCCAGACATGGGCTGGTCTGTGACCTGAGGAAATGCAAAGCACTTTGGCAGATAAACAAATAACATCATTCAGAAAACAAGGAGACTTTTCTTGTTTGGTTTGCTGCTATGATTGGGTCTCTAAACAAAATGGAAATGTGTGGCACAATTAAAAGCATCATCGCAGCTCTGCAGAGATCTAATTCATTCTGCACTCCATCCATGGAGCGATACAGTCACACTGGGGATGGGGAAGGGATTTGAGTGCCATTTGCAGGAAGGCACCTGTGTCATTCTGCATGCAAAAAACGAGCAGATGTGCCCTCAGCTGCTGAGTTTGTTCAGCTACACACCCAACACCACCCCTGTGATGGCCCTGGCACCAGGAGCACACATCAGGCACACTAAAGGCTCTTCTTCTCCTGCTCTGTTCCAAAACTCAGGTCTCCTCACAAATTAACACCCCAGCTCCAACTACACAGCACTTAAAGCCATAGGAAATAAATAAGATAACTTTTTTATTCTTACCCAGAAGCCAGGCCAGAGAGGGGCAGTGATTTCCCAGGTCCTGCAGGGGATGAGCAGCCAAAGCCCAGTGAGAAACCCGTGGTACCCATGCCCTGCTGCAGGGAAGGGAGTGCTGACCCTGCCCTGCAGGCAGCCCAAACTGGCACTTGAGGCATCACTCAGCAGCTGCAGCACCCCAGCTCCCAGCAGTACTGCAAGCTTTGTCTTTTCATTGCTGGCTTGCAGAGCCAGATTTTCTTGGGCATTTCTAGTTTAGCTGTTGCACATCAAAAGCCTCCGTGCGGTGCTGGGCTTTGCACAACAAAAGCAGCAGCACCTGCAAACCTTCCTGGTGTCTTTGAGGAGCCCCAGTGTGAGACTGACTGCTCTAGAGAGTACAGGGGAGTAATTTATTCCCCATCCATCCCAACACAGCTCTGCCTGTCAGGCATTTTGTCCATGGAATGGACAAAACTGCATCTTTAAAGCACTTTCCTGTCTAGACACCTCAAGCCGTGGCCTGGAGCAAAGTTTCAATGTGGGGAATCGATTCTCTAGGCTTGGGGATTTTCTCTGCTCCAAAGCACTCAGTGCCTGGTTCTGGTCCATGCCTGTGCATCCCTGGCTCTGGCCCCTGGAGGCTGCAGGGGTGTGAGGCCAGCTCAGACACTGACCCAGAGCAGCCTGGCCAGCAGTGAGGAGCATTCACTGAGGGGCACAGGGCGGGCAGAAATCGCTTCCTCCCGCTGCCCTGCCAGAGATAAACACTGCCCCCTGCCCCAAACCCTACTGCCAGCCCCAGCACTGCTCCCACACCTCTCACACCCCCTGAGATGATGTTCTGAGAGAACAGCCCTGCTTCTGTCCCCCCTTCCTGCTGCAAGCGGCTCCAGCCTTGGATTCCATCATTAATCCCCATCGTTAGCACCCGCTGGCTGCGGGGATGTCAAGGATTTTTTGGGGGAGGTCTTTGCTCAACAATACTCGTACCAAGATGGAAAATGTCACTGCATTGTCTCAGGGAGAGTGAAATATCAATAACTGTCAGGAATTCAACAAAGACCTCGTCCAGCCACTGTATCATGTAGCAGCTCCTCTGCCTGCTTCGGTTAGAGCTGACATTGAGCAACAAAGCCGGATCTTCTCACATGTTTTTGTTCAATTTAATGTACTTGGGACACTGCAAAAGAACGCAAACCAGAAGGAAATCTTTGCCTTAGTTCCTTTTGCTCTCTACCAAAGCTGTCTGTAAAGGCCTCTGAACACAATCCTTTGAACATCTGATTCTGCTAAATTATGATTTTTGTATGATACTGTTTTAAGTGTTTCTTATTTTGGTGACAGTTTAGCCAAAATTCCAAGGGCTGAATCTCTCTTGCTCTGCCGCTCCTTACAGTAAATAACAGCCAGACTCCCAGTGTGTTACTGGGATTTCTGCTTTCAGGTGGGGTTACTGCAGGTCTGGGCCAGAGGCAGCAGCTCTTGGGAGAACACAGTCAGGGGGGTTTGCTCCTGACTGCCCTCACACCGATGTGCAAGCAGCTGTGTCCTCTCTGGGCCCCCTGCCCCTCTGAAGGGCTGATCCTGTTTCCAGGATGCTGTGACCATCCCAGATGACAGTTTCAAAGAGGCACAACGCATCTGTCCAGTGCACATGTACAGGGAGGAGGATCTGGAGATCTCATTTTCACAGCTGGCTAGGAAAACCAACTGTGTCATTAAAGCACTTCCCTGCGCACTCTTGACAAAAGAGCTAAACCTCCCCAGCATGACAGAGCTCGCTGTGCCATGAGGAAACCAGAGGGTGAAAATGTGATGCTTTTGACAGAATCACACTGGGGGAGTCCTCAGCACGTGGCTCTGGCACCAGTTAGCAGAGCTGGACCCTTGCTAGCTGTCAGAGGCACTGTGGAACCATCCCCAGCCCAGCTGGAGAGGAGCAGAGGCTTTTCTAAAACTTCACCTTCCTCTGCCACACTCAGCTCATCCTTCCCAGGAGCATCCCCCTGTGCAAGCCAGGTGTGGCACAAAGCTTGACAGCAGCTGTGGTGACAAAAGGGGCAAGAGGTGGCAGCACCAGGAGCACCCTGGAGATGAATCCCAGCCCAAAATGATCGATCTGACTGCACTGAACCAAATCCCCAGAGCTGAGCCCACTGCCAGGGTTAGTGCTGGGCCTCCTGCAAGGTGGCTTTGGGGTCCAGGGACCCACCATGGCCTTGGCTCAGGCACTGGACAAGGGACTGAATGTCAGACAGATCTTGAAAATATCTTGGCCAAAAACATTTTTGTGAAAAAAAGGAAAGAAACACAGCACAGTCCTGCAGCGAGAACCTAGAGGAGAGAATAACTAAATCTTGCATCTGCTTCATCCAGGGGTACTTCTAACCCACAAAACCTGCTGAGCACAGGCATCCCCCTCAAACCAGCTGGTACACGCTGCTTCCCCTCACCTCTGCCAAAACTCCTCTCCATCAAAAGCAAGCTATTCTGAACTAGGCTTGAAAGTTTCAGTGAGAGCCTGTCATTCACCTCCACCTCAGCTTTATAGCTGTGCTTGCAGCATGGCATCAGGGCTGCTGCCCCTTACATTTGATGGCATATTAGTTCTGAAGAGAACTTCCCAGGTTCAGCTAAAATCTCTGGCTTGGCACATGGAACAGCAGTAAATAAATCCACGAGAGCTCAAGAGGCCCCTAATGATGCCACTGTGCAAACAAACCCTGCAATCCCGCAGGTAAACCAGGTGTGGCAGGTGCAGCTGTATTGTCACACGCTGCTGGTGAGCTGGGGAAAATCCCCTGCAGGAGCCAAAACCCAGCTCCAGAGCAGGGAGGTGATGCCACGAGAGCGGCACAGAGAGGTTGTGCAGCTCCAGCCGGGTCCAGCACAGCCTGGCCTTGCCCTTCCCTGCACAGGAGCCTCGGGGAGGTGGGCAAAGGCCAAACTCAGCTGCTGGGATGTGCCCTCAGAGCAATCCCCCAGTGCAGGAGCGGCTCCAGCCCGGCCCCACGCGTGAGAGCGCCCATCGCCCCACAGCGCTGTGAGCTGGTTTTGAGTTTCCATCAAAGGCTCTGGTTTCACTGACACACCAATGAATTAGCTGAATGTTGGAAGTCACTTACAGTTAGAAGTCAGAGCCCCATGGGAAGCCCAGGCTAAGAAACAATGTCTCCTTTGACTGGGAAACCACAAGAAAACACAGACGGCAAAATTCAAATATAAAAGGAAAGTGGAACATACGTTTGTTATTGTAAAGCAGCTCCTGTGAGCTCCACTAACAACTCTGCCATTCCAGCTTCTTTTTAATAAGAAAAATAAAAAGAGGCAGTGAAAGTCACCACAATTTTAAAAGTTAAAACCCGGGGGAAGGTTGAGCTGGCTGTGCTGAACAGGAGCCCCTCTCTGTACAGCTTTCCTGCTCTAAGGGGAGTGAGGAGGAGCCTGGCACACAGGGGTGGAAGGGCTGGGGGTCCCTGTGCCTGCCCCTGCCCTCACCTGAGCACTGGGGTTTTACAGCCCTGCTCTGCATTTGGGTGTTGTACCAAGGTAAACAGTTGGATTTAAACACTCTAGGTTTGTGTTTGCACTGCCACCTCTGTCCCCATCACATCCACAAGCTCGCTGCACAGGAGCAGCCAGTGCCTTTCCTGCTGCACAGGCTCTTCCACAGCCTTCCCTGGAAGGCTGGGTACAAATAAGCAGCTTTGGGAAAAAAAGAGATGGGAACCAAATGTGCCTCCCCCTCCTCTGCGGTCTCTGACCAAGGGGGACCTGCAGGATGGAAGGAGCATGGAAACTCCAGCTTTGTCCTTGCTACAAAGGATCTCCTGGCTGTTCTCAGCACTTTAACCTCCAGAGGATACTCACACCCCTAAAACCTGAGTTTCTCTGCAGTTAGCACAAGCTGGAGGCTCCTCCCAAGAGGGACTCAAACACCTGAGCTGGGAGCCTGTGCTTCTCCGTGGCCCTGAAATCAGACATGTGAACATTTCATGGCATGCATGGCTTCTCCCCCTTCTCCTGCCACAGTCCCATTCCACCTGGTCCAGCTTCCCAGAGGTTTTGATCACCAGACTCTTCCCCTGCCATGCCTGGAGCGCACAACTGGTGCAGAGCCTCGAGTACAAACGCTCGGGGCTTGACATGTGAAGAAAAGGAAGCAGCATCAGAAAGATAAACCACAAGATAAGGCTTGGGGGATATAAGATCTGCTGGTCTGCAGCTTCAGAGCACCCAAAAGAAGAAATCTGCATGCAAAATGCTCCTTCCAAAAAATAAATATTGCAGGCCAACATTATGCTGCAAAAACCAGCCAAGATCTCTTCTGCCAGCAGGTCCAGCTGGGTAATTAGTTATGTGGAGGGTTAATTGAAGGCTTTTTTTTTAAATCAGATTTGTTTCCAAAGAGATTGTATTTTAGAAAAATACTCTGTTGGCATCTGACAAGAACACAAAAGTTAAACTTCACTGAGGGGAAAGAAGGAGAGGAAAAAAATAAATCCCTTGAAGCCAAATAACTTCTGACATGAAAACTTTGGATTTTACTAGCCTCCCCCAGTCTGAGATGTCATAAACCATACAGGTGCAACTATCTCATTGCTTGGCGTCCACATGAACCTGGTTATGTTCAAGTGAACACAAATTCAACAAATACTCCCACTTCACAATAAACCTTCCGAAAGAAACTGTCCATATTTTCCCCAGATGCAGGCACAGCTGTGCAGAGGCACATCTGCTCGGGGAACTAAAGTGGACATTTGAATTTATAGTCTTAGATCCTCAAGCTTGATGGCAAATTATGATAAAACTAGCAATATCAGTTCCTGTCTTCAACAGAAAATATAAATGCCTCTTTGATTGATATTGATTGCAGGAAGGAAAGAAATTCTGTTTCCCCATGTCACAAGAAACTCCCTCATTGCAGAAAGGACCCTGTCGATGGGAATACCTTGGGAAGGTAAGTGATTCTGTAGTTGCAGACAAGCTGAGAAAGGAGCAAGGGCTGATTGGTATCATTCCTGCTTCTAGGGAGCTTCAGACACACCACAGGAGGTTACGAGCTCGTCAGACCCAAACCAAACACCTGCATTACTGAGGTGTGGCCAGTGTGACTGCAGTTTAGTATTGCCCTGCACCCTGTGCTCAAACACCCAGTCCATACATGTAAGTCCAGCTCCATCAAAGCAAACAAATTCATTGATTTAACAATTTATGGCTTGATTTTAAAAGGGGGTGAGCCTGCAGGGGAATACTGAACATATGTTTGAAGTTAAGGACAAATCAACCCAGTGAAATTAGCGGTATTGATCACATGCTTGAAATTACACATAAATGTTAATGTTTTCCTGGTTTCTGCAAGCCCTGAGTGTGTTAGGAACATCTGTGGGATGCAGCCCAACTTTGTTTAGTGCAGGCTGTAGCTGTGGCTGACCCACACATCATTCCCAGCACTCTCCCAGTGACACAGCACAGCCCCGAGCCCGGCCTGCCTTTGGCTTTCCTTCAGGAAACATGGGCTGAAAACAGGGGAAATGAGGGGAATGACTGATGTGCCCCCACTTGGCTCCACTGCAGCTACTCAGCCAGTATTTTATACCACCCTTTGAAAGGTGAAGGAAAAGCTGGTCACACTCCAAACACAAGAAGGGTTCAGCTCATTCACCTCTCGGGTCAGCAAAGGGACGAATTCGCTCTCTCCACCACTGGCAGCCTGAATTCAGCCTCAGTTTTGCTCACTTGTTTCAGCAGTGACTTCCCAGGCACTTTACGACAGTTGTGACTGGAGATCACACGAGGTTTACACAGCCCAGGTAGCAAAGACATTGCCCACATTTCTGAGCCTTCAGAAGCCAATCCAAACCAACCTTCTCAAAACCCTTCACTTCACCCCAGCTCAGCTCAGAGCCTTGAAGCGCATCAAGAGCTCACAGGGCGCTCCTCTTCCAGGGACAGCCCCCAGCAAGCATTTTAGAGATAAACTCATCCCCTTTTCCTCCAGGGAGATCCCCAGTGCCTTACCTGGACCACGGGGTGGCCACCAGTGGGGGCCTTGACAGCCCCACGGCTGCCCTCGGTCTCGTAGTGCGCGCGGTGATGGGGCTTGGGCTGCACCTCGATCCGCAGCTCGTAGGAGCCCGACTGGCTGGACAGGGGCCACTCCAGCGGCGGCAGGGACTGCACGGGCAAGCTGGGACACACAGAGAGACACAGCACCAGGGAAACTCCTGAGAAGGTGATTTCTCAAAGCCCCGATCCCTCCTTCCTCCCAGTGCCCCGCCTGGACCTTTCTGCTGTGAATTCCCACGGGATTGTGCCAAACTGCTCGCGTCTGACTGCAAGCTCTGCTGAGAAGATGAGAGTTTCTGTCGGCCCATCTTGCAGTAGAGAATAAGATATTTCTGTTTCTTAAACAGAAATATTTATAGCGGTGGCATTTTTTCAAAGATCCCCCTCTTTTATCCAACTTTTGCTGTGTCTCCAACTTGGATCACAGAGTACGTATTGTGAAATAGTAACTCTGTTTGCCATTACCTACCGGTTGTGTAAATTAACAATGATAATTGTTAATAACTGTTTTGATTTCCATAAATATTAAAGTGCACATCAATAAAATGCTAAATATTCTTACCTGGTACTAGTCTTCCTGCTATGAAAATACATAAGGTTTTGTGGCATGAAATGAATGCACTGCAATGCGCCACTAAAGCCTGCGCTGGATTTTAAACCACTCTTACCCTGTGAGTACAGGCTGCTGCCAGGACCGGTCTGACAGGCCAAGGGAAGTCACAGCCTGTGCTCCTTCAGTCGCAGTTTGTGTTCAGCAGGTCAGAACACCCTGGGATAACCCCAGTGCCCAGCGGGATGGCACTGACAGGGTGCCAGCAGGGCACAGTCACACACCTGGCAGCCTCGGTCCTGACAGCCACAGAGCCAGACAACAGAGGGCTGAGATTTGGGCTAAGGGACAATTAACAAATTAACAACCAACACTAAGTCACTGGAGCTGACCAAACGCTCAGTGTGACCTGGAGCAGTGAGCTCTGTTTTGAATCAGGCATTATTTAAAACATTTTCATCCTTGATGGAAATTCGTAAGTGACTTTAGAAAAGCAATCCCAGCATTTTAAGAGCAGCAGGATGGCACCACGGTGTTCAGCCTTTGTCAAAGGCCATCTGCAATTGCGACAAATCATTTGGAAATCTGAATCTGTAGCGTGCTGTGCTATCAGTGAACCTCCTTGGTGATGTTTCCTCAAAACCCTGACTTTTTCATCTCCGAATCCCAATGGACCAGGCTCCCATGAACCAGTGCTGTCCCTGAGCACTCAGCTCTGGTCTGCAGCAGGACCTGCCCAAGAAAACGCTCCCTGGGGATCATCAGCCACGACAGAGGACACCAAACCATGAGAAAACACGGAAAACACACCCACAAGGAGGATGACATACCTGCAGATTGGTATTGCGGGCACCAGCTGCTTTGTCCAGGATGGAGGAACCAACAGAATGGATTCTGGGGCTGAGTTTCTCCTGTCCTCCTGCTCACAAGGCCCGTGGAAGTCAACAGTCTGAAAGACGTGACACGGAATGCTGTTTTTGTGGGAAGACATGGACGAAGGATCAGGGCTGGTTTTCCAAATTTTCGTGGGGACACCACAGGAAGGATCCGTAGGAAGGCTGCTCATAGCATCCATGGAAAGGGAAGCGCTGGCCAACTGCGTGTAAGTAACTGCAGAGGCGTCTTCTCCCAGGGGGATGCGAGGAGAGGGCTGTGGAGAGGGGGTCCGTGAGTGCCGAGGAGAGGCGGGAGGCAGCTGAGCGCTGTACAGCTCGGTGCAAGAGTACCTCCGTTTTGCACCTGGTGACGAAGACCTTGAGTTGGGACAGGGTGATGGTGAGTGGCGTCCCAAGCAGGCTTCCTCCGTGATGCTTGTTCGTGGTGACATTATTGGAGAGGTTCTAGGAGAATAATGAGTATGGATGTTTTGAAACTGTGGACAAAGGTCATCACTAGGACCATTATTTGGTGAAACACATGGTGATGTGCAAGGAGATACATTTGTCTCTGAAATGAAACTTGCAGAGGAGCCGCTACTAGCTGGGCTCAGACACAGTGGTTCTCTGTAGCCCTCAAAGCCAGGGACAGGCAGGGTAACCCTCGGGCTAGTGGTGGCTGAGTTTGACTGATGTTCTACCAACAGAACATCTGTGTCTCTGCTGCGGAAGGGACCCCCCGAGTGAATCAGTTCATGATATGGAGTTATTTCAATCCTAGGGCTCGGAGCAGAGGCCCCTGCAGCGTTGGCAGGGTGTGTAGGTGGTGGCCCTATGCTATCTGGCTGTCCATATCTGCCCATGGGATCTGCAGAAAGGCTAGAAAAAGGCAGGGGGCATGGCTTGAGGCCACAGTCCAAGACATCATGAGCGTATGTAACTCCAGAGGGTGGGCTGTTGGTTTTATGTGGAGTCGGTTCTTCTGGAAAAAGAAGGGTCTCTTTAAGACTGTAAATATTGTTACAGAAGCTGAGCAATCACGGATTAAAAAAAATGCATATTTATAAACTGGTTGTGCTCTGATATTAGCTTATTATTTAATTCTTTTTAACTGCAGTTAATGCCCGTGAGAAGTACTGGATTAAGAGCCAGGGAAGCTCAAGTGCTCAGAGCGGGTGCAGCATGGACAGGAGCACTGCCAACACCTCCTGCTGCCTGAGCCTCACCTGAGGGATCACCTGCACAGGTCAGCAGCGTGTCAGCCCCTCTGTCCACGGCAGGGCTGCCCTCCTGCCAAGGACACCCCAAGTGCTGCCACTTCGGTCACATTTTCCCAACTAGGAGCTGGACTGAGACCAGCACATCACAAAATCGCTTCCAAACAGGTCTACATAACACCAAATGTTGAGGAACAGCTTTTGGAGGAGGAAGAAACACCTTCCTTACACAGCCAGTCAGGAAAGGCTCCATGGTCCAAAGCTGAGCTCAAACTCTTAAATTGAAAAGTCAGTTCTGTGTGATGATTTGTTTGGCTCTGTATCATGCAGCAAGTTTGGTTTCATGTGAGTCAGAAAACACATTCACAAATATTTGTTAGAGAAGAGAGAGAGAGGGAGAAAGACTCCAGCCCTGTGGTTAAGGGCAATCACATTCCAGTTTCAGCCCAAGGAACATTTTCAGACAGGGATTATAAAATGCACAATAACAAGTAAGTGTTCAGTAGAACCCTCTCTCTGCTGGTATCAAAAATCCCGGATTTTCAGAGATTCCCATTTTACAAACTATCCCGAGGCTGCAGAGCACAGGGATGCTCCCAGGGAACACAGAATTCCCAGCAGCACTGCTGAGCCCAGTTCCAGCATGGCCAAAGCACCCAAGGGTGTGCAACAGCAGAGGCATCCCAGAGGGCAGAGTCATGGCAGGTAGTCCCATGGACATCAGCTCCTGGAGCTGCCCAAGCCTGGGAGCTGAAGAATATTTGTCATCACACAAAAACATGCAAAACATTACCAGGATTTGTAGGTGTTTTTAAAGATTTCAGTGTATCCAGCAGGAAATACCTGAAACAGCTCCACAATTTGGGATTAACTCACACTATCTGCTCGCTCTGGGCACAGATCAGAGGTTTCACTGAAACATTTAAATTACTGTTCCAGCATTTTCTCCAACTCCCGCGTGACACGAGACAGAAATTCCCAAGAGAAAATATCACACAGAAAGCAGCAGGAGCTGCCTGTGCTTTCTGCAAAAGTAGCAGAAGTTCCCAGTGAAACTTTTACAAGAAGAGAGATTTTGACTTATTTTCAGGGGATTTCTGTTCAATTTTAGGAACTGCTGAGCCTTCATGTTCAGTGGGAAACCCCAAGAGCCGAGCAAACAAACCAACATACAGAATGGCTGGGACAAGAGGGGAGCTGCACAGGACAGTCCAGCTTGCACATTTCTTAAGGTTCCCTCTGGCTTTTAATCCCAGCACACAGCTGTTTTGGGGATAGGAAAACAGCAACGAGTCACTGACTTCTGAGCCAGACATATTTTTAGCACGGTTGATTTCAGAGCTTTGGCACTCAGGAGCAGTGTGTCATCCCCATCACTCAGGTCTGACACATCAAGCCTCGAGATGCTGCTGAGGTTCCCTTTGAACAGAGCTCGTCATGCCTCCGGAATGAGCGGAGTAACACACCCCCCACAGACCCAGACCATGGCTCTGGGGACAGCCACCCCATCCCAGCCGGTGCCAGGGAGCAGAACCAGCACTGAGCAGGGCTCCAGGCAGGATCTGTGCAGAGGTCAGCAGGAGCAGAAAACCCCTCCAGGCTGAACAGCTTCAGCTCAAGGAACAGGTGAGCCTTTCAGGTCCCCATGCAGCTAAAGCTGCCCCACCACTGAGTTAATCCCAATTATCTGTGCCAGACACAGAGAGCAGGTCCAGAGCCAACACAACACACCGAGCAGCAAAGCCAGCGCGGGGGGTTCATGTTGAGGGGTACTGGAAAAGCAAACGTATCTGTATGTGCATGTGTAGTTTTAAAAGTCTGCTGAATAACAAACACACCTCGCACCCACAGCCCATCAAAAACCAGCCTTCAGACAACCTACATTTTCCTTGCTGATGCCTGAAATACCGGGTTTCAAAGAGCACTTTCACCCTGGCCTCTCTGCTCCAGAGGATGCAGGTACGAATAGCCAGGCTCACACACAGCAAGCCCCAGCCTGCCCCTGCCACCGGCACACAGCTCCCGGCCAAGCAAACACCCACAGCCTCCAACACCAACAGGATTTCATCTCCCCCACACTGGCAGCGCAGCAGGACCACGGGCAGGACTGATGGACAGGGCAGGGCAGGACAGGATGGACCAGGGATGGTCTGAGCAGTGCCCAGACTGACGGACAGGGCAGGACAGGATGGACCAGAGCTACTCTGAGCAGTGCCCGGAGCAGCCCCGGCCATGCCCCGGGCTGAGCTGCAGTGCAGGGAGAGGCTGCAGCCCTGACTCATCGGCACGGCTTCGTCAGGAGCCCGGCTCGGGGCTTTGGGGAGCTGTCCCGGCTCTGCAGAGCTGCAGACACACAATGAAATCACTGTCCCGGCTGCTGCTGCTGCCCACGCCGGGGCTGCCGCCGCCTGGCCCCATGGCAACGCCGGGGATGCTCCAGGGAGAGCTCTGAGCTCACCGCCGAGGGACGCGGGGCACAGCGGTGAAACAGCAAGTGCTGCTCCCAGAAATAAACGGCTCTTCCGTGGAAATCAGCGGGAAATCGGCACGAATCTCCCTGCTCCAGCTGCAGGGAACTGGCTGCTCCGCTCCCGGCCAGCCTGGCTGGGGTCAGGAATGTGCTCGAGGAAAGAGCAGAGCCAACAGCCCCAGGACAGGAGCATCACCAGCAGCAGCAGTTTGCTCCTGTAAACAGCATCGAGCCCCTGCCTTTGTGAGGGGCACAGAAAGCTCAGCTGCTTCCTCCCTCCCCTCACAGACAGAGGTGGGACACAGAGACCAGGACTCAGGAACAGCCCCAGCACACTCAAGCTTCTCCCTGAGCTGCTGAGGCGAGCTTGGGCAGGGCTGCAGGAGCTCAGGGCAGCAAAGCTCACACTGCTGGGGATGGCAGGGAACAGCCCTGCCCCGCTCCAGCTGCCTCCTCACTGCACCCCCTCACCAGAGAGCAGGTACGTGTTGGGTCAGCCCAGCAAAGGTGTTTCCCAGGGACTGAAACAACTTGGAAACCTCTGTGCAGGTGCCTCAGAGACACAGCTCTGCTCCCAAGGCTGTGCCACCTCCAAGAGTCCATCCATTCCTGCATCCCAGAGCACAGGCTGGGATACTCCAGCAAAGGACTGTGCTCTCTGCTGCTTTTCTGATGGGGATCTCACAGACAGCTCCTCAGCACGGGCTGCTCCAGCACTTCCTCCCTCCCTGCACTCAAGCATTTCCCAGCCTGAGGTTTCACTGCTGATTCACCCTCTGATTCAGTACCAAAAGATCCTTCTGCTTTGACAGGGGTGAAAAGAAAGCGAGTTTTGCACGCAGGCAGCACTGGCATCTCCTCGTACTCTCGGGCAGCTTTACTGTCAGCAAACAGCCTTCCCTGTATCACTCAACTCCTCTTCCTAGAGCACTCTGACCCCCCAGCCCTCTGGGATCCCACCCAAACTGCCAGCTCTCACTGCCCCTTTTTCCCCCAGGTTTCATCCACATGGCTGTCTCTCTCAGCACAGCAGGGAATGAAGCAGGGTCCTGGATGCTTCTGTACTGCAAATATCCACCAAAGCAGCTCCTCTGGCCGGGCCCAGGAGGGTGCAGGCAGCTCCATCAACCCCCTGGAAGCCAGGCAGCCTCCCCAGGTGGAGACCCTCAAGAGAGCCCTAAAGAACCCAGGGAGGGCTGAATCACAGGTGAAAGAGAACAAGGGATTGCAGTTTCAAAGGACTTGAGCCTTGATTTACCCAACTCCTTTTCACACATCTCTGAAGGGCAGAAAGGAAAAGGCAAAGGCTCCCGAGGTTGCCCAAGCCCAGGGCCACCCTTGCCTGTTTTAAAACAGGGCAGCTCCTTCAAAGCCAGCAACTCAGCCAAATGTGACCGTGCCAATTAGCATGAAATTAGGGAATAAAGGCTCAGCAGAGCGGGCTGCATTCCACGCTGGGTTTATCCAAACCATCCTCTAGGAAAAGCTAAAGATAGCCCCGTGCAGGCCAGGGAGGGCAGGGACACAAGTTGGGCTCTGACCTCACATCCTCTGCCTGTGGCTCCCGGGATTTAACTGGAGTCCCCTATTTGCATAAATAAAAGAGTCTATTTTCTTTTTTAATTAACTTGCTTATTGTCATTTGAAGGGGCCAGTCCAGAGCTTCTTTGCATTTTTCAAAAGCTGACTTGTCTGTTATTTACACTAACTGCTTGGAAGCTCCGAGTGAGAGCTGGTTTCCTGAGTGAAATCTGGAATTCTCTGCTAGATGTGCATATTTGTTTCTTTATGGCAGGGCTGAACACTGCCTCCTGTGTTCCTGAGCCAGCCCCAGGACCCAACTGCATGCACTTTCAGGGTTTTTTTCCCTTTTAATAGCTTTGCATCCAGGAGAAGAAAAAAAGGAACGAGGCAAATTATTCAGGGCTTGACACCTACAAGACATGGCAATGTCCCTGGGAGCCTGTCTACATACAAACAAGCATTTGGAGGAACATTAATATTTATGGATGCTCCCTGCTTCCCCTCTCTACACTATACACACAGGACCTTGTAGATTCATATCACCACATGCAGTCTGAGAGTCTAATGAGCTACAGCAAGGGCCTGAGCCTAGAGGAAAAACCTCTTTCCCATCTGCATTTTTACCTGTTGTCTCAGGGCAGGATTTCATCTGGAATCTTATTCAAGCACAGCTTTTGTCTGGATTTGCAAAACGCCCCTCAGAGGATCAGCTCCCACAAGGGTTGAGCTCAAACATTAAAAATGATGTGGCAGCTTTAGCTCTCAGCAGATCATCACACAGCGAGCACCCAGCAATCCTGAAGGGAGCTGCTGGAGCACAGCACTGGCTGCACTTCAGGATTTTGTCTCTCACAGCAGCCAACAGGTGTTAGGGAGGAACACACGCTGCAGGGATCAGAACTTACTCCTCTGGGAGCCCTGTTTGTAGGAGCTCATTTGGAAATGCTCATTAACTCACCTGTCATGTTCAAAATGAGCTAAAATTTGGGATACTGCTACCAACACCTGCACAGGAACTCTGCAGGGAATGCAGCTAACACTTTTTTGTTTAAAGGACACAGAAAACATCCTCAATGGCCAAATGAAATCACAGCTTCCACCTGAAAGCACTGTATGCCTTGCCCACACTCCCCAAATGCTGTTCACCTGGGCAGCCCCTGAGTTCAGCAGATGTTTCTTGTTTGAAAATCATGAGAAGATTGCTAATTAAAGTCTGGTGAGTAAAGGCAAAAAGCACTCTCCACAGCATTGGTGCTTTTGGAAACGGCTGGCCTCAAGAGGAACACCTAATATTAATAATATTGACTGCAGGATTTTTGTTGACCCTTTTTTCCCTGTTGCTTTTATAACAGTCCATGTTCCTGCTGGCCCAGGCACACGCAAGCACCACTGAATGCCTGTCACTTTCAGGAAGGATATTTCTGGCATCCCCATGACAACAAGTTGTGATATAGGTCCTACTTTTAAAACACAACCTTGGATGGATACTGCCAAATTCCAGCCTTTTAAAAATTTATCAGGAATAAGCATTCACCTCAATCCATTCCTCAAGCCCAAAATTTACATTTTTCCATATTTTTTTTAATTTAAAAAATCCCTTTTAGCATGCTTATAGATTTGTTATTTTAGGACTTGTCATGAGCAGTGGGTGGAACAGACCAGGCTGGGAGGACTCCAAATGCAGGAACCAGACTGAAGGGCTGGGACCTACTCCTTTGGTTTTGGTTCCACTTTGAATCCTCCTCTGCACAGGACTTGTTTGTCCAATTTCAGTTCAGATGGGGCCAGAATTGGACACAAACAATGAGCATCAGTTACCACCAGCATGTGGATAAAGCCCTTGCTCAGAATTTGACCATTTTCTGCTCTCGTGTAAACACTCTTTAATCTTCTGTACATGAAAGGTTGCGGATGTATCCTGGATTGCTTACAGCCTGGAGCTGGTGCCTTTTCAAAGCCAGGGGAATGTTCTCCAGATTACAATGCTCATATATATGGCTGGGACATTTTTTTATTTTTTTTTATGCTAATGATTTCCATCTTTGGAACCAAATTACTACTAATTATGGTTTCCAGTCATTCAAAAGTGAAGAAAGGAGGCTCAAGAAGGAAGTTGCTTCTACAACAAGCACACACTGCTCTGCATTTATGTGGTTTGAAGATTAAACTTTCTACCCCACACCTATGTATGATTATGTCCTGTAGAACTTCCCACCTAAGGTTTCACAGCAGCACTGTTTACTATAAAGATGTGAACACACCAGCATCTGAAGCTTTCACTGACATTCAGTGTATTTTCACTAAAATTTTCATTAAAACCGTTAACCCCTCCCCATCGTGGATTTATTGCAGCATGTTTTGATCTACATGAAACCTTGAAAGAAAATTCAGCTTTGTCCAGCTGCTGACATGCACCATCCCCACTCAGCTTCGATGCTGGTGCACATCTGTACACTTAAACAAGGACAGAGAGAATAAAACTCAGCAACAACTCTCCGTTTCACTAAGGACACCACGATCAGGCCTCAAAGGTCTCCTCCTTTAGAGGAACACAACAGCTCTGAGATGCTCCAGGGAAACACCACCTTTCCACCGTGCAGAATCAAAACCAAGGTATCTTAGAGACAATATCCCAACACACCATCCCTCTGGGTCCTCTCCTTCGGCTCTGTCTGGTTTACACAAGTCTACATTTTATGGGAAGCGTCCCTGTTTGGTACCACCAACAGACAGAATTACCATTTAGAAAGTCAGGGAACACTTGTCACTGCACTTTTAAGTATCACAGCATAAGCTCAGAAAAGCAGAACAGTCTGAAAAATCTTTCTTGTTCCCTCAATTTTAGCTGCAGCTTCCGGTGTCCGTGCCGGAGCCAGCGGTGCCCAGCCCGCTGCCATGGCCGGCTCGGGGGTGCCCGGGAGCGGCCGGGGCAGGAACGGGGCTGAGGGCAGCGAGAGCCGCCCGAGCCCCCGGCAGCCACAGCCCTGCTCCATCCCGGCTCCATCCCGGCTCCATCCCTGCTCCATCCCTGCTCCATCCCGGCTCCATCCCCGGCTCCATCCCCGGCTCCATCCCCGGCTCCATCCCCGGCTCCATCCCCGGCTCCGTCCCTGCTCCGTCCCTGCTCCGTCCGGGCTCCATCCCCGGCTCCGTCCCGGCTCGGCCACCGAGCGGCCCGGGCAGGCACCTGCCGGCCGAGAGCCCCAAGCGGTGCCGCCGTGCCCCGAGCGGCGGCCGGGGGCTCCCGGGCGGCTCCTCACCAACCTTCCATCGGCTTCAGGTAGTCGTAGTCGAAGAGGATGGAGAAGTCGAACTCCTCCTGCGGGCTGCCCGGCGGGGCCGTGCCGGGGCCGTGCCCGGGGCCGTGCCCGGGTCCCCCCTCCTGCGGGCCGGGGTCGGGGCCGGGGCCCGCGGCGCTCATGGCGATCCGGGAGCGGGAGCCGAGCGCTCCGAGCGCGGGGAGAACGCCGGGAATAAAGCGAGGAAACACCAAGAAATGCCCCGGCTCGGGAGGGTGCGGCGGGCGCGGGGCCCCGGGCGGCAGCGGGGCAGCTTCCTGCTGCGGGCAGCACCTGCGCCGGGGCCGCCCCCGGGGAGGAGCCGGCACCGGCCCGGGAACGCGGGCACCCAGCCCCGGTCACCCGGCACCGGCCCGGGAACGCGGGCACCCAGCCCCGGTCACCCGGCACCGGCCCGGGAACGCGGGCACCCAGCCCCGGTCACCCGGCACCGGCCCGGGATCACGGATACCCAGCCCCGGCCCGGGAGCCTCCGGGAAGGAGCCGTTCGGGCCAGCATCCCCACGCTGGTGCCCCGCGGTGGGCACGGCCGGCTGGCCTGCACACAGCCCCTCTCTGCCGAGGTCTGCAGGGCCCCGCCGCTCCCGGCAGCGCACAGCTGCCCTCGCCTTCTGCAGGCTTCGAGCATCCCACGCCATGTGCTCCTGCCGTGGGCTGCGGGGTGGCTGCTCGCACGGGATGGCCTCTCCTGGCTGGAGACCTTCAGAGGCGTCGGGTCCGTCGGGCACAAGGTCTCTGTTCTCCTCCTGCCTGGCTCACAAACAGCGTTTCAGAGGATGGGCGCTCGCCGCGTTCCCTGCTGACCGCAGCCGGCGCTGCCAGCTTCCCCAGGGCCCCCCGGCCACCTCCTCCACATTGACTCCATTCATGCCCTGTTCTCCTGGCCCTGCTCGGGGTGCTGGTCACTGCCCCCCGACAGCCTCCTGCCCCTGGCATGGCTGCTACAGCCAGCAGTGACTTCACTGTGGGTAACTGGGGGCCCTGGCTGTGTGTGCTCAGAGCATCTGCGGTCAGAGGGCTGTTCCCTCGCTTACCTGCTTGTGTGGTGCCCTTTATGAGCGTGCAGATGGCTGTCATCGGCTCTGAGAGTTTGAAAAATGCTCCTAGTCTGTAGACAGGGCAGGGAGGCAAAGGCAGAGGGACCGAGATCATTAAAGAAGTATTTTGGTGTTTACTTCAGCTTGTTTTTATTTGCTAAGCCTGTCAGCACGACGGCATTAACTGCAAGACAAATCCGACCCTACGTTCCTTGCCTAAGGTCACAGAAAGTCTGTTTAAAGCACACATGGAGCAGAATCTCTGCAGCTGGGCTTGTAACCTACTGCCTTTCTCATTAGTGTGTCCAGCCAAGGGACGGCAAATTGCCTCCTCATCACACCCTTTTGCTCGTCCAGAGGACAAGAAGTCCGAGTTTCCCTGCAGTTTGCAGGCAGGTTTTTCACTGAGTTTCTGGAGAAGCCCGGTGCTGGCTGGTCCCCTGCAGCTCCTGGGTGGCAGCAGGGGCACCTCTGGGTGAGCACAAACAGCACACAGGGGCTGACAGGGCCCTCGGGGGCAGCCAGAGCTGCTGTGAGGCTGCATCAGGTTGGGTGGGGAGCAGTCACACCCGAATCACACCTTGGGGCATTAATTAGTTACTGGAAGGTGCCAGGGGATGGGGAAGTGACTGAGAAAGGGCAGGTGAGCCTGCAATGTTCACTGAGGTGTTTGCAGATGCTGCCTCCCCTCGGGGAGCCTGTGCTGCTCTCTCCAAGGGCCTGATTTGTTATGAATTGTTTAAACATCTATTAAACTGAATTGTTTATATCTGTTGTCCAGTGATCCCCTCCATTTGCTGAGCACTGGCCTTTTATCATTGGCTCTTCTATATGAAATTCACTAGAAAAACAAAATATACTTGCTGATCTTGGCTTAGCACTAAAGAGAGCTGTCATCCTCACAGCTGACACCACACGCAGCACGATTGGATCGGTTGCATTAGCCACAGAAAGAAATGGCACAAACAGAAACACTGAGCTTTTTAAGTGAGATACAGGTGATGGGCAGGAGGGCGTGGGGAGACGACCCCGACTTCTGCTAAAGCTCTGTCCCATCCTTTACTTCCCAGCTTGCCTGCAATCCCTTAGGCATGTGAAGTTTCAAACTTAGCTACTCCTAGGATTAGTAATACTCCACAAGTGGAAAAGGTACCTTCTGCTTTCCAAGAGGACCGTGCCATGCGAAGGAGTTTCGCTGCTAACACACATAATCATCAATTCTGACTCTGGCCAGGAGTGAGGGTGACAAGACAGCACTGAGAAAAGTGTTAAAGAAATGAAGGAATTAGCTCAGCTGATGGGATCCAGTTTTTTTTGCCCAGCAGACAACGTGACGGATGTGAAGGAGCAAGAGCCACCAGGCTTTAATGGAGTGTGTCCCTGCAGCTCTCAGGGCACACGAGGTCACGGTCCCACATGGTCACAACTCGGCACCTACAGGAACAAGAGTTTCCACATGCTCTGAGTGCACAGAGATGGGAGTTGGAATGCTCTGGGGGCTGGGTTTGAACCTACCTGTGTGTTATTTCGAGCAGAAATGCCACAAATGCACAAACTACAGATCTGGCCTTAAATATTAGAGGGGCACAAAGCCATTGGTAGGTGCAGGCAGCTGCAGAATTCAGCTCAAGAGACAGCTGCAGTTTCTGGAGCCTTCCAAAGACTGAGTGGAGTTTAGTCTAGACCCAAAACAGCCTCTTGAGCCCACAGTGAAAATAAAACATTACAAATTGTTTAAGTTTCAGCTGTTAATAACTACATAACTGACAAATACTGCCCACAGTCTGTCATTAATAATTACTGGTGAAGGAAAGGCAGGGAAGCTCCTAGACTTAGACTGTGGGCTCTTCAGCCCAGTGTATACACTCAGAATCATCATCCAAATCAAAGAAAAAAACCCAAACAACGTGACAAACGCTTCCCAAAGCTTGATTTCCATTAGGGCTGGAGTTAGAGGCTGCAGCACAGTGTCCAGTGACCAGAAATACTGCTTGGTTGTCCTAAACCTCAGTCTTTTCCACATCAGACCCTTCCTTTCTCCGAGGATCCTCCATGCACTTCTCCTGTGTCCAGGATCATGGAGACTGGTCCCAGCTCTGCCTGGGCTCTCAGCAGCCACCCTGAGATCTGGGAGTCAGATTACCCCTGGGGTGTTTTCTATAAAGCTGTTTTCATGAGCCAAAAAGGTGTTTCGAGGGCTGAAGCAAAGCCTGTCCTTGGCAGCATTAACAAAAATTGCAGCCACGTATGCTTGCAGCAGGCTCCACACAGAGCAGAACTGGAAATACACTGTGCTGCCATTTCAGGGAACTGCAGAATGGAAGGAGTCCTATTCCACAGAGTTGGATCCGTGCTGGCCTTTGGCAGGGCTGTACTTTAATAAAACTTTAAAAGAATGTGAATACTGGACTACCTAGGTACTGGGGGAATCCAACAACAAAGCTTAAAAGAGCACTTCTAGTGTAATACAAACTGTGAGTTAGAGAGTACTTAAGGTATTTCTCAGTGTTTAAATGCACTGCCAATATAACTTCTCATTTACTATTTTCAGTTTCTACTTGTACTGCCCCACTGTATTCCCTGCACCAATAAATTCACTGGTGCAAGGGATCAGAGGATGCTCTGAGATGAAGAAATTTTATTTGATCTCACAAATGTCTGTGCTAATTATTATTTGTCCCACATGATACATAATTTACTCTGTATCTCTAATACTGCAAAACTTTCACATTAAACTTTTTAAAAGAAAAAAGAGGTAGAGAAAAGCGGATTAAGAAAGCTGCATGCCTATTTAGCTGCTAAAACTCAAAGAAAATATGAGTCAATGCTGTCTTAAAAATCTAAGTGTTCTAATGGTGGATGTGGCAGGCATTAGAAATTTAACAGGCAACTAAAACTTGCACATGGACTTAATCCAAGCTCTTTAAAATGAGCTCAGACTGTGAGTGACTGGTTGCTTGGTCTGGAGTGTGGGGAGTGTTATTAGAGAAAAAAAAAGGAGGGAGAGAGAAGGGAGAAATATCTGGTAGTTCCTTTCAGAGGCACAGGCACACACACACACACTACTTTTCAATTTTGGGGTCAGGTTGAGTCAGAGATATTACCCCCCAATTTCAAGCTTAAAGTGGTTTGGCAAGAAAGGACAATGGAAAAATTGCTCATATCTCCACGTTCCCATTAAGTTCTGAAGTCTGCTGGGCAAACCAAAGGAATGCACATATCATAGTTTAAAAAGAAAATAGATTAGGCCAGTAGTGGAAAAGAAGTTCTAGGATATTATTATCCTTGGCTATTTTTTAAAAAAATGAGTGATGAAATTTCACTTAGAATATCTACTGGAATATTATAAAAGAGTGCTCCAGTTCTGTCAGTGTCCCATCTGTGAATGTGATTCCTGCCCCGCACAAAAGACTCTGGAACCATTTGCTGACTGTAGCTGCAAAGGCTGGCAGAGAGAAAGGTCAGGGGACAGAGAATTAACAGCTGGGGAACCCCAGGATGACACAGGGACCCACGGGCACCTGGGGAAGATCTCTGATCTCTGCCTGAGACTTGCTGAAGCACAGCTCTGGGGAGCAAAGCAGCTTTTTGCTGGCAGGGTGTTTGTGCAGAGCCTTCATTCCTCGTCCTGAGCCTGCTCCAATCATAAAAGGGGATAAGGGCTTAAAATTATTAACACATCATCATTTACACACCCTGCATTAGTAAGACTCCAACACTTTGTTGTGGGTGCAGGAATCCTCCCAAAGGCAGAGACCGATCCCAAAAGTGCCATGAATTATTTAACCCCTTGCGGTTTCATTCTGCTTTTTCCTTTCGGAAATGTCGGGAGCAACCTTGTGACACAAAGGCAAGTCTGGGGCAGAGCCTGCTGCAATCACCCCTGCACCACTGACAGGAGCAAGCATTTGCACAAGGCAAAAATACATCCTGGGGCCAGGAGCGTGTTCTTTCTGGAGCATCTCAAGGCTCTGTCGTGCAACTGATTGCACTGCTCCTCTGGCCACTGTGCTCTCAAATATTCCATCTGGAAATGAAAAGAATAAATGAGTGCTTTTCATTCTGGGGCAGGCAGAGCTGCCCAG